TCCCTAAAGTCTGATCCAATGCAGGGAGCTCTAGATGCCTAATAATTTCCATCCCTCATTTGCAAAGAGTTTGGAGTGCAGGCTGAACATACATCTTTTTCCTCAAATAATCAAGTAGCTTTCTCCATGTGGTGCCAGAGTGTCTTCCTCTGCTTCCCCTGGCATCACTTAGGCAGTGGTGCCAGATAGCCAGGTCCTCTTGCTTCCTCATGCTATTGCTGCTCTTCATATCTGCAGGCATAAAGCATTAGTTTTCTCCCCTTATATCTTTTCATTGCATCAGCTTTTCTTTCTCCAAAAGCCAATGGTAATTGGTTCTGATTTTCAAAAATTACAGCAAGGCAAACAGATTTATCTGCATTATGTAAAGCCTAAAACAATACTTGTCCCTATTCAGACATTGTTTGAATTAATCCAAGAGTGACAAGTGATGAAGCTAGCCAAGCCTGAATTCTCAGTTCACTTCTTTTTAAAATTTTTTTGGATTGAAGAAAGTCCCATACCTAGTACCACTCTCATGGTGCCATTTAAATTTGATCATGCATTAGAAATGTAATTCTTAATTTGTACAGAACTAGTCCTGATATTTTGCCAAGATGTTTTTCAGAAATGTTCTATGTTTACTTCTTTTGCTTCCCCCAATTTGGGCTGTGATGCTGTCACGTTTACTGAATCCTAGCTAAAAAAAGGGAAGTGTGTTCTTGTTACTGAGGTCTAAAGGAGCACTGTAAGTTTCTTGGAGAACCTATAAGATTTTCCCTGTTGGAAGAAGGGTAGTGTTTTGGTGGTGTTTTGTGTGGTGTTTTTTTTCTAAACTATTGTTAAAGGAAGAAGAAAAAGCCTGCCTGTCTGTAGGACCTCCCCCCCAATCCGTCCTTTTGAAGTTACTAAAGCTTCTAGGTAGGGCCACCTGCTTAGAAAAGGTGTAGAGCATTTCTAGATGCTTCTGAAGTTCACTACATTAAAATGCACCAATCCTCATGAATCCTCATGTCTGGGGTTCACCTACAGCAGCCATGTAGGTTACAGATGACAGAATATCCCAGGTTATGATGTGCTGTCAGTGGTATTTCAGGCAGCTGTGCCACGTGAAGCTTCTCTGCCTGATCTGTCTTGAGAGGGACACTCACTAATCTACCACACAGCCAGGAAGATCAAAGAGAGGAGGGAGAGGTGTTGCCTATTCATTCCATTCACTGGAGCCAATGCAAATTACTCTTAAGATCCTTACTGACTGAACAGGTCAGGTTTATTAAGCTAAAAAGGTATATGACACAGTAGTTGTAAACTTTATGGTAATGATTTACGAAGTAGAGCTCTTAGAGCAGGCCAGTTCCTGACTCTACTAAGGCCCTGTATGTGATCTCCATCTAGTGGCAAGGATAGTTGCATTCTGTTGCATCACCAAAAGCAAAGGAACATTGCAGAGAGGAAAAAAAGATAATATTAATTATACAAATTAATAATTTTATGGTAATCCTGGAAACAAAGACCAGACTTGTTGATAAGGTAAATGTTTCAGTGTGTGGTGTGGCATTTCTCAGTGTATGAATAGCCCAGCTCAAGCTTTCCTGGGCTGCCACATAGCTGAAGCCATAGTGCCTGGGGTAGTGTTGAATAACCTTCTGACTGATACTTTGCTTATTGTCTTACAGCAATTAAACATAACTCATATGAGATTGCTTCCCTGTTGATAAGTTCTGGTGCGAAAGTGAATTTGCAGTGTGTCCACAAGAGGACTGCTTTACATGAGGCAGCCAAGCTAGGCAGGAAGGATCTGGTGAAGCTTCTCCTTCGTTCTGGAGCAGATCCTGATCCTCGCAGTGGATATGGGCTCACTCCTCTAGCACTGGCTGCACAGGGTGGACATACAGAAATTATGGAGCTCTTATTGCAAAAAGGTGAGACTTCATGATATGCAAAGTTACAGGAAGAGAAGGCTTGGGTGGAGGGTCTGTCTTGCCAGTTTATAAATGATGGGATGGTGTAAAGAAAACAGAGCCAATTTCTTCTCAGTGGTCCCAAATAACAGGGC